GGTGCCGTGGGTCCTGGGATCCACTGCCAGCATTGCCAAGCAAACCAAACAAAAGTATGTCTATTTACCTTTGAACCCACTCACCAAAAATTAACTGAACTCCTACTTCCTTGGTGGCAGGCACAAGACAGTTCTGGGGCTCATGTAGAGACCATCCTTAAGTTCTTTACACTGAAGGCCACACTATGGGAAGTGTTGGCGCGTAACACCCTATAAATACAGTATTCACTGCGAACGCCACACATGTTCTTTGTAATTATATGCTGGCTTATGTTGCTTCCTCGGCAACAACTGTTGGTTCGTCTAGCTCATGTCTTTCCCAGTAAGGCTCCTTACTGGCCAGAGTCTGGGCCTCACTCTCAGAAGGAATGGCCCGTTTGATAAAAAGAACCCCAGATTTGGAACTGACAGTCCTGGCTTCAGTACTGTACTCGGCCACTTATAAGTTTGTGGCTATGGCAGAAGCCGACATTTGTCCACCAAAACCTGCACTCAGCTTAAAGCAATACAGCCCCAGGTTTTAAGCATGGCCGTGGCACTTGGGATAAGCATACTTCCCAGTCTTTCTTGCAGTTAAGTATGGCCATTATGCCTAAGTTCACAGCAATGAGAATATAAACAGAAGAAATGCGCATACCATCCGGTAAGTATCCTTAACATATAAGATTCATCATGAATCCTTCATTAATCCTTTCTTCCCTCCTGATGGCTGGAGCCAGATGGCCATATTGGACCCTGAGCTAATATTGAGAGTTAAGGCCATGCACAGGAAGCAAGCCTGCAGGAGACTGGGGCCCAAATACCACGCAATACATTAATCTGGCCAGCAATCCATTTTAGGCAAATTACTTAATCTCCTTGGACTTCAACATCCTGGTCTATAAAAGGATGGAAATGTAAGGTACCTATTGCCTAAGGTTGTCTTGAGGACTGAATGATAGGCTTGGTTCACAATAAGGACTGGAGTTTAAAGAGGGGTATTACCGTTGCTATAGTAATAACTGTAGCCCTGCTACAATGGACAGTATAGCAAAAGGGGCAGAAGATAGCCCTGGGTACAGAGAGGTGACTCAAACCATTTCTACAGTATAAAGACGCTACTGTTTGGATCTTAAATGACCCCCATACACCCAATGGTTTGGACCACGGAGTGGCGGTATTGGGAAGACAAAGGGCACAACTTTCAGAGGTAGGGCCTGGTGGGAAGTCTTCAGGTCACTGAGAGCATGCCCTTTAAAAGTACAGTACAACCCAGCTCCTTCTCCTCCTTTTTCATCCTTGGCAGTGAGGTGAGGCAATGAGGTGAGCGGTCTTGCCTGCCCCCACCCCACTGCTCCGCCACCAGGATGCTCTCTCTGCCCCCAAAGCAGCAGGGCCAATCCCTAGAGCTGTAAGGCTCAAATGAACCTTTTCTAGGTTAGTTATGCCTGGTATTTTGTTATAATGATGGAAGGCAGACTACCACAAGGGGCATCCTGGCCAGTCCAGTCCTCCTGACAAGAATCTCTTTCTCCAGCACCTTCATGGGATGGTCTTTGAAGCGAAGTATACCATCCTTTCCACAGGGTGAGGACAGTAGGGCTGGCTCATCCCTCCATCACGAAGTTCATCCCTGCTTTAGACCCCTCCCCTAAACGATGTAAACCCCCTCCTCTGTCATCTGCTCCCTCCTTCTCTTCTGCCTTTGATCATCATGCTCCTGCCTCTGAGTTCACGCCTATCAGTACATCAAAGTTTCCTTCCATCTCTTTGGGAAGCACCCTCTGGCCTCTCCGCAACAACTGGAAGGAAGTAATAACTTCATCCCATCCTGTTCACACACAAGGCTTCCCAAACCCTATAACCAATGTATGGGTACACTGGAGAACACAAATGTCCGCTAACCATCCGGATGTTCTGTGTTGGTCCAGGGGTGGCTCATCTCCCGCGTTTCTCACTGCTAATACTCTCAAAGCTACTTCATCTTGTTTGCAGCATCCACACTGGTCTGGGAGGTCTACGTCTTCATGGTACACAAAACTGAAGCGTGCTCTCAGTATCTACAGCCTACAGGCATCTTTCCAGAGTGGTCTCTTCTTGTTTAAGAAGACACAACCCCTACTTTTCTTCTCTTACACACTCCACTGCCAGCTTTTCATGTCACCTTTACTCACACAGGCTGTGCCCAGGCACAGACACGGTGCCAGCCACCCCATCTCTCCCGCCCCATTCCCTCTTCCTCCCACTCAGATGAGCCTTGATATCTCTCTCTCTCTCTCTCTCTCTCTCTCTCTCTCTCTCTCTCTCTCTCTCTCTCTCTCTCTCCTCTTCTGCCTCTCTGGCTCCATCCATTCCTGTCAGTGGAGATTCTGCTGTTCACCAGCCCAGGCCTAAGATGCCTTTGGAATGGAAACAAGAGGTGGTAGCAGCCGGTGGCTACACACTGAAGAGCCACCTGGGACAGCCGAAGGACAGGAGACTGGGCAGTCGGGAGGACAGGGACAGAGACTTGCATGATCAGTGTCCTAGACAGGATATAAAAGAGGACCCTGAACCAAACTCCACACACCGGCAAAGGAAGGGAGCAGAAATGTGCAGGCCTAAGTAAGGGTCACACACATCTCACAGATTCACCCTGCAGTGCCCATCACAGAAGGTCGCAGGGTTTCCTAGCTCCAACTGTCACATCTGGAGGACGGTTCCTCTATCAGTCCCACTTTCAAGCACTTAACCTGACTCAACTTTCATACAACTGTATTCTAGGTGTGCGACCCGCACGCACGGGCTCAACACCTCCAGATTCTTTACGGTGTTAGCGTCGCAGTACACATTGATTCACATCACACAGCAGGAATGCTGACACATGAGTCAGACCACGCCAGCGGCCAGCAGGAACCAAGACTGAAATGTGGTTTCTTCCCTCCGCAAAGACCCTGTGCTTCTCCCAGGTGAAGAAGACTAGTAGGAGGCAGGCCTCCCTGGCCACGCTGCCAGCTATCAGGTGACAGGCAAAGAGGATGGAGTCCCCCAGAGGGGCTCGGAATGGGGCGGGCATTAGTGTGCCTGTCCACAGTTCCAAACACCTCCACTTTCACACACATCTGGCCTTCCACCCCAGGAGCCCTTTACAGCCACCTGGAGACTCAGCTTCCTCCAGAGCCCCTCTCTGCACCCGAGGGTGAGGGTGAGGGAGGATGACAGCACTCAGTGGGTGCCAGGGTCCCAGCTCCCCTCCACAGAGGGACCTAGAGAGCGAACAGCAGGGAGACCAGCAGGCAGCCTCACATTTCTTCAACAGCCAAAAAGAAAGAAAGGGCGCAAATGTCATAGTTCCCTGTTTTCCCATTGGTGGCTCCTTCTGCCCTGGGCCCCACCCATCCCCTCAGCCACACACCCAAGCCTGGGAAGTGGGGCTGGAGAGGGTGGGGGGCGGGCAGCCTCTGTTTGTGTTCTTTCCAATCTCCATGAATCACTAACTGCTGATTCAAGATGAGACACAAGGACCAATACTATACAACACATACAAATGCAGTCTAAGAGACCAGCCAAGGGAAACCTACCTACCTGCTTTCCTTTACCTGAACACACAGGAGACATGGGGACCCTCTATCCCAACAACAGGGTCAGCTGACTAAACTCTCAGAAAGACAGGGGTGTGCATGCCTGTGCACATGTGCGTTGGGCAGGAAAGGGCTGACACTAGTACACTCACACACTAATTCCCCGACTCAGCCAAAGACTCCATTCCCACTCCAGAGAATTTGGTATCACTGGTCTGAGGTGGTTACCCGACTACCAAGATTTTTTTTTTTAAAAAAAGATGCCTTAAAGACACCAGCCTGTACCCAAGTTTGAGCACCACCGAATGAACACATTGATTATGAGTTTCAAACACATTTCGAGGCAGTCAAGATTTTTTAGGACATCTTACATGCCTTAATTGCAGACTTTGGGTGTTTTATTGAGATTCAGATGTCAATCAAGACGAGGCTGAGATAGGAATTCAAGTCTCTTAACTCCAAAGTCCATCCCCATTCCACACACCTGTCAACTTTTGTAAGGGTGCAGATAATTCACCGACAATCTCCAGGGATAAATTCCGTAGTGCAAGACACCTAGAATAGAGAAGCAAATGGCCAACAGCCATAACTTCTCAGAATGCAGAGGACAGAGTCACACAGAGAAGGTAGGGGGTGTGTCCAGTCTTGAGGTCTGAGAAGATCCCGTGAGAGAATGAACGCGCCGGGGGCTGGATATCGAGTTTAATATAAACCGAAGCACTGGAAGATACACGGTGGAGATGTGCTCCATGGCATAACAAGAATGGCCAGGGGCTGGGGATCTACACTGGAGATGGAAGCCTGAAGAGGGCCAAGGGCCCACTTCTGAGACCACAGTTTCTTTCTGCCTCCCACTGAGCCTTCCCACTTGTCTCTGAGGGTATGAACACCACTCATCCAAACACACCCCTTGCCAGGCCAGCCCCAGTTATCTCCAGCCTCACCTCCTACACGGGCCAAGAACTGGGCTGCGTTGGTGCGGAGACACAAGACTAGTTAGTGTCTTCAAACACATTTAGCCTACAGACTTCTTAGGCAAGACAAAGCCTCCCTTCAACCCCCCCAGCCCACCCACTCCCACTTCCCCCTCCAAAAACAACAGTAAGAAAAGGCACCGTCATTCATCAAACCACCTTTCCCAACAGAGTGAGAATTATGTTGTAACTTCCCTGGAACCTCCAGACCCAACACAAAAGTGAAAACACTGGAAGCATCAACCCACACACCATCCCTAATCCACAGGGGCTTCACCCAAAGGCCCAGGGCAGGAAACACACCTGCCTTAAGACAACCCATATTCCACCAATGGACCCTCTTGGTATTTTTATCCACTGTCACACTCTAGCTACCCAGTACTGCCCCCCAAAGCCCAGTGTATCTGATGGGAGAGAACCACAAGGAAATTAGCAATGAGAGCAGGTTTAACTTTCACAGCCGTAGAACTGATAAGCAGTCACTTACCCAGCACAGCCAGACAGCTCAACACTGGGAAAAAGCACTTCATGTCGGCGGCGGCCGCAGCAGGAAGAGGACACTTTGCACAGGGCACTGGGCTTCTCCCAACGCCTAATCTCTCATTACTGCCAATCCACTTATAGCTCCGGGGAACAGTTTGGAAACAGAACTTCACAGGGAAAAAAAAACCAAAGACAGAAGGAGAGAGTTGGGGGCAGGGGAGGGGAGCGGCAAGAGAGTCCTCTACGCTAAAGGCAGGGTCCAGAGCAATTCCGAAGGCGCTCTAGGCTTCTGCCACATTGTATGCCTTGCAGTCTCCACCGGAACTGTGGATTCTGGTGGATTAATCCTCAAGGAAAATGGGAGGAAAGAGAGTCTGAGAAAATCCTTTCATCCGTTGATTATACAGAAATGTCCTTGGCTTCGCAGTGAAGGTGTCTGAGATCTCTCATTCGGATCCCCCAGAGGGAACCAGGCAGGTTTTGTCAAAACCTGGTCCAGTCAAAGCACCCAGACTGGTAAAGACACTTTGGGTTTCTTCATCAAAAAGTCCATCTCCATCCATGGTGATAGGTCACGGTGCTGTCACCTGCCCCAGAACCTCCCAGATGCACACGAAGTAAGCTGGCAGTCGGTAGCCCGGGAGCGGTCCCACAAAAGCCGGCAGATTTCTAAAACAAACACAGCAGACGTTTATCCAAGGCCAACACAACCACCGTAAAACCGAGAGAGGCCGAAGCGCCGGGTTGGCTGAGCCACCCGGCTCCCCTCCCTGGCTAGGGCAGCCCATGCGTGTGTGCATCCTGACCTTGTACAAGTCTTACCTTCCGTGCCCTACGCCTCAGTTTCCCCGCCCAGAGCAAGGCAATTACGATTGTTCTCAAAACACTTTCACCAAATGCCTCTTCACTCGCGGGCTTTTCCCGTCGCGGTCCACGGCGCGGGGCGCGGCGGGCAGCCCCACCCTCGGCAGCGCGGGTCGCCACGGGGCTGGCACGGGGCCGCGACTCGGGGCGCCGGCCGTGGGAGCCGGGGCGCGCCGCGTCCCAGGTGGCCCGCTATTGTTTTACCTCCCCGGCGGTTGCTTCTGAGACGCTGGCAAAGAAAAGGCACCGAGGAGAAGGGAGCCCAGGGCTCCGCTCGCCGTCGACCGAGCCCGCCCCGTGCGCGCCGGGTCGAATGGAGGAAGGGGCTTGGGCCCGGGGCGGGACGCCGCCGATCCCCACGCCACGCTCCCCGTGCCCCCGACCCCGACCCGCGCCCGCCCGCGCTCACCTCGCCCGGGGTCCCGCAGTTCCCAGCGGCCGAGAGTCCGCCAGTACGTGTCCCGCACGCCTCCCAGGACGCGCAGCTTCCTCCTCGCCTCCCGCAGCGGCTCAGGCTGCCCCGCTCCCGCCCCGCCCCAGGCCCCGCCCTCCAGCTCCCGCCGCCTGGCCCGCAGCTCCCGGCGTGGCGAGCAGGGGCGAGGGCGGTGGCCTCACAGGGACACGCCCCCGCTACGCCCCGCCCACCGCCCCGGAGCTCCCAGGCTGCGGCCGTGCGCAGCTGCGGACCACCTGGGGATGAGCTGATGGAAAGTTAACCCCGGGTTCGCCCACGGTGGCCCCTTCCTAAGGCCCAGGCCCTGGTGTCGCGTCTATTGCCCGATAAACAATAGCAAAGCGCTTTGCTGGAGACTTGAATTTGTTTTCATAGTGAACCCCCACATTGTGTTTTACTCTAGTATAAAATCTGGAAAACAACCCCGAAAACAATCGGGGTTCTTGCCCAGATGCCTCCGCTTCCTAGCGGTGCGCCTTAGCCCGTTTGTCTCGGTGCCTCAGTTTGCTCATCTGTTACGAAAAGGAAATAACCTCTGCTTAATAGGGTTGTGTGAGATGTCCACGCCACACTTGTAAAGCACTTAGCGGAATGCCTCATATGTCAAAAGCACTCAGTAAAAATGAACTGTCATTATTTTATAACAGTGCTCTCCGTGCAAGTGCCTCCATATTAGTCAATTACAAACACAAAGTGCTAAAATGACTCATTACAGACGGAGCAAGTCGGACCGTACTGCCCTTTGCGGAGTGTGTTGTCTACTTGGGGTCACTAACATGCGCCGTAGATAAGTGGAAAATGGGGTCGAGGAAGGCTCCCAACCCTGTGTTGTTGGGGTGGAATAGGGCAGGATAGGGCCCAGGAAGCTTCTCTTAGAGAAAATGGATAATTCCGTGGAACAGAATACAGGAGAGGAGGAAGAGCGGACATCACAGGCCCTGGAAACACACCTTTCTTAAGAGGCCCAGAGAGGAAAGACTCAGTACCTATGACAGAAAGCTCTGTGGGCTCCTAAGTAGACTGGAGGGAAGACTAGCAAGAAGGGGTCTGTAGCAAAGAATCAGAAGCCAGAGCGGTGAAGGATTTGGCCTTGAGATTGGGTCCAGGAGATGCCCTTGATGGGTTTGAGTAGGGAACTGTGGCTAACAGATGTGCATTTTATAAAACCACTTGGCTTAGAAGTGGAGGGTGGGTGGAGGAATTTTCCAGAAGACTGAAGATGTCATGGCTAAGGATGGGTGAAAAAAATCCAGGAAATGGATGTAACCAAGACCACACAGGCAGCTACAGGGACAGAGTGGGTTGGGCGGGCCTTGGTGTCACCCAGTGGGATGTCCAGGTGAGTATGAGAGAGTCTTGGCGACAGAGATCAGGACTCACAGGACGAGGATGGAGGTTTGAGCCTGAGATGTCCAAGAGGCATCATGACTGGCTAGCCATGTCCAAAGAAACAACCAACAGATTTCAGAACTCAGAGAGGGACTTATTGGATTGCATGAGAGCAAAATTGTGTACTGAAAGAAAACCTTGATGGGCCAGGGAGATGGCTCATTTGGTAAAGTGCTTGCCATGTAAATGTGAGGACCTGAGTTTTAATCCCCAGAACCCACATTAAAAAAAATGTGGATGTCACTTGAGGAGCCATGACTTGCTGTCCTCTGGGTTCTACACACAAGGGTGCATAAATGCACACATATCCACAAACAAAATGAATGTACTGATAACTCACCCATCCCCCCAAAGTCAATACCTCTATTATACAAGACAATGAAGACCTTGTCATAGGGGTACCCAGGTAATTGGAAAGTCTGTTTGTCCTTTCCCTTCTCCCTTGGCTGTAAATTCCTTGAAGGCAGTTCACCCTGTAATTATCATTTATCCATAAACAACTCTTGGCATTTGATCTGCATATGTAATTGAACTATAAATACTTCTATCATATCAAATTGAATATTTATCGCATATTTAAAGTATTGTATTGAAAATCTCCTCTCACAGATGACATATTCCCTCTTTCCCCCAAGACGACAGTGGCTCTGGTGTCTCTCAGCTCTTGCTAACTAGACGCCTTTGCTTATTTCCTAAACATCCATGTGTGAAGAAATGTCTCTGTTCTCTTAGTACATCTTGTGAGAAACAGACAATGAGACAAATAAATATATTACACAATGGCATGTGTGCTAAAGAAAATGAGGTGATGGAATAGTGTGTGTGTGTGTGTGTGTGTGTGTGTGTGTGTGTGTGTGTGTGTGTGGTGGGTGAGGCGAGACAGGAATTCTGTTCTAGGTGGGCTGGTCAAGGAGGATCGCTCAGGGAGGTATTAAAACAGAAACCTGATTTAGATACAGGGAGGAGGAGGAAATGGCGATGTCTGAAGGAAGAGTGTCCTAGCTGTAGGAGATAGCAAGTGCTGGGCCAGTTAACATGCTCTGAAATTAAAAGGGTTTTTTTCAAAGAGCACACACACACACACACAGTGTGTGTGTGTGTGTGTGTGTGTGTGTGTGTGTGTGTGTGTGTGCTCTATGTGCATGTACAACTTTATGCCAGAAGAGGGCATCTGACCCTACTATAGATGGTCGCTAAGACTTGAACTCAGGACCTCTGGAAGAGCAGCCAGTGCTCTTAACCGCTGAGCCATCTCTCCAGCCCCTAAAATACTTTTGTTTTGTTTTGCTTTGCTTTTCAAGACAGGGTTTCTCTATAGCCGTGGCTGTACTGGAACTCGATCTGTAGACCCGGCTGGCCGTGAACGAAGAACTCAGAGATCTGCCTGCCACTGCTCCCTGAGTGCTGGGATTAAAGGTGTGTGCCAGCACCGCCCAGGTTAAAAGTATTTCTAACATATCATAAAGGAGAAATGGGAGGAGTATGATCCAAGAAGCCACAGAGGTCAGACTGTAGGACCTTGTGGGCTGGGAAGCACTTTGGATCATGGGCTTTGGAGAAAGAAGAGCAACAGGAAGTGGGAGGAAGATGATGGACAGGAGTCTCCGACATCGTTCAGCTGAGAGGGGGTCAGAGCTCTGTTGAGGGCAGTAAATATGAAAGTTGTGACCAATGGATGGAGTCTGAGAACCTTTCAATTTGCACTCTCTGAAGAACTGAATATGGAAAAAGATAAGAGGGACCAAGGAATCTTCTTGAAGGTCCATCTCAGCCTGCTTGAGAGCTCTCAGCCCTATCAAGCTGCCTACACCTTCCCAAAACTCAGTTTCCTGGGTCCTCTACCCGGACCTCCAACCTTGAACCTCTACACTCAATAATCCCTTGTCTGTTCCCAGGTTTTTCCTTCTCAACCTGCCCCTCCTCCACCATCCGGATGCCTAGCAACCCTCTCTTTCAACCTGTGGCTTACATCATCACAGCAGATTCCCAGCATTGGGTTCTTTCTAAATTCCACATTTAGGAAATATCTACAATATGCAAATAATTGTGCAAACTGCTGGACAGGGAGAGAAAGGCACAACGAAAACAATGTCTCTGCCTCCCAGACACAAAAAAAGACGGGCGAAGTAAATGTGAACCAGAACCAGGGTTGATGGTCCCGGCAGGAGATCAGAGGCAGGCCCGGAAGTGAGCTGGAGAGGGTCCCGACGGGGAGCAAAGGCACCAACTGATCCCCCTTGTCCTGCCTGCACATTAGCCTTGCTTCACAACACTTCACGTTTCAACTTCCAGTCCCCTCCTAGACTGGCCGGGAACAAGGTAGGTATTTTGTGAGTCTCGGAAGACCCCTTAACCTTCTCCGTCAGGGAGCTCAACACATGAAGCTCATGGAGCCAGATGGAGAAACAGCCACAGGAAGAATTGGGGCTGGGTGGACTAGACTGAAGACACAGTCCCTAAGAATTCCCAGGCAAGTACCACCGGTAGGCATGAAGGACCCTGGTATCTGAGTCTCCTACTTCAAGAGAACCAGGAAATCTAAATATTTCCTAGAATTCTTCCTAATTTCTAATTTGTTAAATGTTTGTTATTTTGTGTGCATGTGTGCTACCGTGCTTGTGGGGAGTCATTTCTTGTAGAAGTCATTTCCCTCCTTTTTTTTTTTTTTTTTGTTGTTTGGTTTTTCAAGACAGGGTTTCTCTGTGTAGCTTTGAGCCTTTCCTGGAACTCACTTGGTAGCCCAGGCTGGCCTCGAACTCACAGAGTTCCGCCGGCCTCTGCCTCCCGAGTGCTGGGATTAAAGGCGTGCGCCACCACCGCCCTGCTATTTCCCTCCTTCTATCCTGTGTGTTCTGAAGATCAAACTCAGGTCACCAGGCTTGGCAGCAAGTGTTCTGTGTGGTTGCTTTGACAATCTTGGGGACTGACGTGCTCCGCAAGTACTCTACCACTGAGATATGTGCACAGCCCCCTTTTTATTTTGAGACAGGGGCCACTCACTAAGTTACCCAAGCTGATCTAGAATTGCCTGAGCCTCCTGTACAGCTGGGGTTACAGACCTGCCTGCACCACCAGCCCCAGTGTTTAAATTAAATGCTGTAGGGAACAACATTTCTTTTTAGATGAGGTACGGTCAGGAGATTCTGTGAGTTTGAGATTTCCAGACCCACAGATGGTTATCATCAAAAGGATCAATTAGGAACCAAAAAAAAAAAAAACAGCAAGAAGTTCAACTTTTAAGGCAAAACAAAAAAAGGATGACTACCAAAGTTCTCCTTTGTCATCTGAAAGAAAGCTGGGGCAAAGCGTTTGGTCTCAGGATAGCAGGTATGGATTACACTCTCCCGAGCAACCCCTCCCCGACTCTCCCGTGGTGCTGACTGCTCTTCCACGCACCAGGAAGTGTCCTGTGAAAAGAGCAGAGCCTCCTACCTCACAGCTCAACCCCAGCGAGGCTCGAAGTGTGCGCTGAACAGTTCTCCTGAAAGGCAGCTCCCCTCGGTGATTACCTCCTACACAGACAAGGATCCCCGGAGCCGAGACTAGGAATAGCTTACACAGGCTGCCATCTGTCTTCAAACACACAGAGACTATTATATCTTTGAGACCAGGGTAGAGAGTGGGTAGTCCCCAAAGGCTTCACCCACAGGTGGGTGCTCAGAACCTTCCATGCGCCACC